TTTTTTTCCTCATCTGGGTGCAGACGTCCACATAAGTGTGTTTTCTCTCTAATGACGGACTGCCTGTGAGATACTTGGGGCCAGCTTTAGATCAAGGAGACTCCACCCTGACTCAAAAGTCAAGGACCTTCCCCCACCACACACATGCACATATGCACGTGCTTCTAGATGAAGCTGGAATTCTCCCCTCAAAGCATGATTCCTTTGGCCCCAGCCTTGATCATGTGAGGGCTGGGGGTAAATACCCTGGGAAGAGGCCTTGGGACCTATCCTGAGCCCCTTGATAAGGGGGAGCTGGGAGTGAACTTGAGACACCCTGAGTCCTATTGGACTAGGGCAGGTGCCCAGAGGGCAAGAAGGACAGGACAGGACCTGACAATGTCACTCATGTCCCATCATTGCATATCACATCATATACCCTGGCTCCCCTAACCCCACCTGCTGTGGATCCTCATCCAGTTTGTTCTCATTCCTCTCTACCTCTAAGAGGGGCAGCCTCCCTACCAACACTGTGGGCTCCAGAACAGGAGGACGTGGAGTCCCCAGAGCAAGGTGGCTAGAGCATAGTGGGTGAGACCCTCCCTGCAACCCATCAATAGCCACGGAGGTCCAGAGTGAGGGGATAGGCTTGGGCAGACTAAGGAGGACCAGAGAGAAATGCAAAGAGGGGGCTCACCTGTGGGTAGGGCTGGACACCGAAGGGCCAGGAGAAGTAGCAGCCATGTGCCAGCCATGGCCCACTCAGAAGGAGGCAGGACCCAGCTGCAGACCTGAGTTGTGGGCTGGGGGAGGAGGCACCCACAAGACTGCCTTCCAGGCCACAGGCCCAGCTGCATCTCAGCTGCTCCACCACGAGCCGTTTCCCCTGGTGATGGGCCCCTCCTCCTGCCCTGGCCCCCAAACCCAATCCTGTCTCATGGGCCAGGGAGCACAGGGTGCCTCCCCCACACCAGGAGCTGGATGCCTGCACTCCTCCTGAAGAGCACCTCAGTCTGCAAAGCCCTCCTTGAGGGCAGCTACCATCCATAGCACACACAGCACCAGGAGGCTTGACGGGCTTGATGTGCAGCCCTTCACTTGGTCCACTCAACCACTGTGAGTTCACTTCGCAGGTGAGGCAAATGAGGCTCACAGAACGTGAGGGATCCGCCCAGGGCCACACAGCTTACAGATAGCAGAGCCCGGGCCTGAACTGTTTTTAGATGGCTGGCTTTATTATAGGCAAAAAGATGCCCAGTAAACTTTTTGCCATGCTATTAAACCCTCCTTTTAATTTTACTTAAATTTTTATTTTATTTATTTTTGAGATGGGGCTCGCTCTTTGTTGCCCAGGATGCAAGAATGCAGCAGTACAATCATAGTTCACTGTAGTCTTGAACTCCTGGGCTCAAGTGATCCTCCTTCGTCAGCCTCCTGAGTAGCTAAGACTACAGGCATGCACCACCACACCCAGCTAATTTATCTTCATTTTTATTTTTGTAGAGCTGGAGTCTTGCTTTGTTGCCTGTGCTGATTTTGTACTCCTGGGCTCAAATGATCCTCCTGCTCTGCCCTCCCCAAGTGCTGGGATTCTAGGTGTGAGCAACCATGCCGGGCATTTATTATACCATTTTAACTTTTTTTTTTTTTTAAGAGACAGACTCTTGCTTTGTCACCAGGCTGGAGTGCTGTGATGCAATCATAGCTCACTACAGTCTTGAACTCCTGGGCTCAAGCAATTCTCCCACCTCAGCCTTTTGGATTTTTTTGGAGACAATCTGGCTTTATCACCCAGGCTGGAGTGCAGTGGCATGATCTCAACTCAATGCAACCTCCACCTCCTGGTCTCAAACGATCCTCCTGCCTCACCTTCCCAAGTAGCTGGGACCGCAGGTGTGCCACCAGACCCAGCTAAATTTTTGTATTTTTTTGCAGAGACTGGGTTTCGCCATATTGCCAGGCTGGTCTCCGTCTCAAAGTTCTGGCACTACAGGTGTGCGGCGCTGTGCCCGGCCTTGTTTGATTTTTCTAAGACATTCTATTACGGCAGCCATTGTTTTCTTGTTAGACATTTGGGTTTCCAGTTTGGGGCAATGGATATCTTTGTTCATAAAGGCTTTTCCAAATTTAGTTTTTTTTTTTTTTGAGACAGGGTCTTGCTCTGTCACCCAGATTGGAGTGTGGTGGTACAATAGTGGCTCACTGCAACCTCCACCTCCCCGGCTCAAGCGATCCTCCTGCCTCTCCCCCAAAAGTAACGTCTTCAGTAGCTAAGACCACAGGCGTGCACTACCACCTGGCTATTTTTTGTATTTTTGGTAGAGACAGGATTTTACCGTACTGCCCAGGCTGTTCTGGAACTCCTGAGCTCAAATGATCTGCCTGCCTTGACTCCTCAAAGTGCTGGGATTACAGGCTTGAAACACCTCAACCAGCCCTAAATTTACATTTATTTCCTTAAAATTATTGGCTAAAGGCCTCTGTAATTTTGTTTGTGTTTAACTTTTTAAAAATTATTTTTTTTCTTATTTCTTTTTTTTTTAGACAGAGTCTTGCTCTGTTACCCAGGCTGGAGTGCAATGGCGCGATCTCGGCTCACCGCAACCTCCGCCTCCTGGGTTCAGGCAATTCTCCTGCCTCAGCCTCCTGAGTAGCTGGGATTACAGGCACGTGCCACCATGCCCAGCTAATTTTTTGTAGTTTTAGTAGAGACGGGGTTTCACCATGTTGACCAGGATGGTCTCGATCTCTTGACCTCGTGATCCACCCGCCTCGGCCTCCCACAGTGCTGGGATTACAGGCATGAGCCACCGTGCCCAGCCTTATTTCTTTTTTTGACATCAGAATACGAACACACAAAAAAACATGAACACAAAGTAAGTATTTTTTTTTTCTCACCCTGGTGCAGATGTCAATGTTGTTCAACCTTTAAAGAAGTTCTAATTGTGGTAGGATACTCTTAAGATAAAATTTACCATCGTAACCATTATTTATTTATTTATTTAGAGACAGGATCTTAGGCCTGTAATCCCAGCACTTTGGGAGGCTAAGGCAGGTGGATCACCTGAAGTCAGATTTCAAGACCAGCCTGGCCAATGTGATACACACACAAAATACAAAAGTACAATTCAAATACAAAAGTTAGCCAGCCATGGTGGCAGGCACCTGTAGTCCCAGCTATTTAGGAGGCTGAGGCAGGAGAATCCCTTGAACCTGGGAGGCGGAGGTTACAGTGAGCTGAGATGGTGCCATTGCACTCCAGCCAGGGTGACAGAGCAAGACTCCTGCTCAAAAACAAAACAAAACAAACAAACGAACAAAAAACCAAAAGAGAGGATCCTGCTATTTTGCCTAGACTGGAGCGCAATGTCTATTCACAGATGTGATTATAATGCTTCAAACTCATGGCCTCAGACTACAGAGTAGTTGGCACTACAGGGGCATACCCCCACAGCTGGCCATCCTAACCTTTTTCTTTCTTTTTTTTTTTGAGACCGAGTCTCTCTCTGTCATCCAGGCTGGAGTGCAGTGGCACAATCTTGGCTCACTGCAACCTCCACCTCCTGGATTCAAGTAATTCTTCTGTCTCAGCCTCCCTAGTAGCTGGGACTATAGGTGCACACCACCACACCTGGCTAATTTTTTATTTTTGGTAGAGACGGGGTTTTACCATGTTGGCCAGGCTGGTCTTGAACTCCTGACCTCAGGTGATCCACCCACATAGGCCTCCCAAAGTGCTGGGATTACAGGTGTGAGCCACCATGTCCAGCTCATCCTAACCATTGGTAAGTATACATTTCAGTGGACATTCATACTGCTGTGCAACCATCACCATCGTCTATCTCTAGAATTCATCTTGCAAAAATGAAACTCTGTACCCTGGCAACCACCATTCTACTTTCTGTAAAGAAATTTGAGTACCTCATTCAAGTAGAATTATACAGTATTTGTCTTTTGTGACTGGTTTATTTCACTTAGCACATGTCCTCGTTTCATCTATGTTGAACCATGTGTCAGAGTTTTCTTCCTTTTTATAGCCAAGTAATATGCCATTGTATGTATGTATGTAGCACATTAATCTGTGGATGCACAGTTGGGCCGCTTCTACATTTTAGCTATGATGAACATGACTTCATGATAGCTAAAGTGAAGTGGTTATCAACCTCAAAGGAAGAGGCTGAAGCACAAAATATGATTTAAAGAGCTTACTTGATGACACCTGTAATCCCAGCACTTTGGGAGGCCGAGGTGGAAGGATTGCTTGAGACCAGAAGTTCATAGGATATCCATTAGGAACATGGATATCTCTTTGAGACCTTGCTTTCATTTTTCAATATGTATTCCCAGTAGTGACATTGCTGGATCCTATGGTAAGTCTATCTTTGTTTTTTTTTTTTTTTTGAGACAGAATCTCTCTCCATCACCCATCCTGGAGTGCAGTGGCTCAATTTCAGCTCACTGCAATTTCTACCTCCCGGGTTCAAGTGAATCTTCTGTCTCAGCTTCCCGAGTAGCTGAGATATATATATATATATGTATATATTCTTTTTTGAGATGGAGTTTTCCTCTTGTTGCCTGGGCTGGAGTTCAATGGTGTGATCTCGGCTCACTGCAACCTCTGCCTCCCAGGTTGAAGTGATTCTTCTGCCTCAGCCTCCCAAGTAGCTGGGATTACATGCATGTGCCACCACACCTGGCTAATTTTGTATTTTTAGTAGAGATGGGCTTTCCCTATGTTGATCAGGCTGGTCTCGAACTCCTGACCTTGTGATCCACTGGCCTCAGCCTCCCAAAGAGCTGGGATTACAGGTGTGAGCCACCGAGGCTGGCCACCCATCTAATTTTTTATTTTTATTTTTGTAGAGATGGGGGCCTCACTGTGTTGCTCAGGCTGGTCTCCAACTCGTGGCCTCAAGTGATCCTCCTGCCTTGGGCTCCCAAAATGCTTGGATTACGGGCATCATCAAGTAAACTCTTTTTTTTTTGTTTGTTTTTTTGAGATGGAGGAGTCTCACTCTGTCACACAGGCTGGAGTGCAATGACTCGATCTTGGCTCACTGCAACCCCCACCTCCCAGGTTCAAGCGATTCTCCTGCCTCAGCCTCCCAAGTAGCCAGGACTACAGGCGCATGCCACCATGCCCGACTAATTTTTGTACTTTTAATAGAGACGACATTTCGCCATATTGGCCAGGCTGGTCTCCAACTCCTGACCTCAAGTGATCTGCCCCCCTCGGCCTCCCAAAGTGCTGAAATTATAGGCATGAGCCACCGTGTCTGGCCTCAAGTAAACTCTTTAAATCATACTTTGAGCTTCAGCCTCTTCCTTTGAGGTCAACACGCCTATAAAGAATGAACACTTTCATACTTCTATCGTCTTTTTGCACACGTGTGGTTTAACTCCAACCCTTCACCTTAACTCTACCAGGAATTAATTTTGGTGCATGGTAGAAGATGTGCATCTAAATTACATATTTTTTTTTTTTTTACTGTAATTACCCTAGAGTATTTATTGAATAATCCCTCCTGACCCCATTATTTACAAAATGTTCCTTATTGCATGTTAATGTCTTTTATGCAGACAATTTTCCTTCTTCCTGGCTCCCTGAAAATTCTTTTTTTTTTAGATGGAGTTTCACTCTTGTTGCCCAGACTGGAGTGCAATGGTGTGATCTCGGCTCACCACAACCTCCACCTCCCAGGTTCAAGCGATTCTCCTGCCTCAGCCACCAGAGTAGCTGGGATTACAGGCATGTGCCACCACGCCCGGCTAATTTCGTATTTTTAGTAGAGACGGGGTTTCTCCATTGTTGGTCAGGCTGGTCTAGAACTCCCGACCTCAGGTGATTCGCCCGCCTCGGCCTCCCAAAGTGGTGGGATTACAGGCGTGAGCCACTGCGCCCGGCCTGGAAACTTCTTTAGTCTGGTGCCAGCCTCACCCGATTTCTGTCTGGATGGCTATTTTAATAATGATGTGGATGGCGCTCTCCTGACCGTCCTGAGGGAACGCTCTGCCGCCAGGGCTGCGTTCCCCACCTTTGCTTTCCCAGGGCTGCCTGGAGGCCCCGGGCCCCGCGCGTTCCCAGGCACAGCCCGCGCCCAGGTGCGCGCCGACTCGGTGGGTTTCCCTCGGGAGGGGGAGGGAGCGGGGCAGGTGTCCCTAACGACTCTCCCACCCTCCAACCCAGAGAGGAGCCGGGCTGGGCTCCGTTACCACTTTACAGATGGGGAGAGAGCTCTGCCGCCTCTTTCAGATTTCAGGATCTCCTGGGAACTGGAAAGAGAAAGACCCTCCCCACCCCCGCGCCAGCCACCTCCCTCTGCGGTAGCTGACCGTTCCCCTATCCGCTCCAGCTCCCGCGGGACTCAGGCGTCCTTGGCTACCGCAGCCTGAAAGCGTTCCTTTCCTGCTTCTCACATCGGCCTTCTCTTTCTAGGATCCCCAGGAGTCTCCCTCAGACCCCATAGTCTTGCTGGCCCTGAAGACGCCTTGCCCAGGGCGGACGCGTTGGCCTTTGAACTCCTCGCCTTGGGGGAACCTACCATTTGCTGGACATGACTTGTTCCTAGATATCTAATTTAATCTTCACAACCACCCCACCAGGTGTTATCACTCGCAATTTACGGCTAAGGAAACGGCTAGAAAAACTAAGGTGCAACGCTGAAGATACCCTAGCAGGCCAGTGGTGGAGCGGGCGGGAGCCGGCAGCTCGATCAGCACAGAGATGTGTTTACAGGGCGTCTCTTCCAACGCTCCTTCACAAGGCTGCTGGGACCGAGAAATGAAACAGGGGCGCCCATCTGCGTGCTCACTCTAAGTGATACCTACCCTCCGTTTTTTCTTACATACAGGTGCCCTTGGTAAGCTGAGATGAGCCACAAAGGAGGCGAAAAATAAAATTAAGAAAAAATGGCCGGGCGCGGTGGCTCACGCCTGTAATTCCAGCACTTTGGAAGGCTCAGGTGGGCGGATCACCTGAAGTCAGGAGTTTGAGACCAGTCTGGCCAGCCTGGCCAACATGGTAAAACCTCGACTCTACTAAAAATGCAAAAATTACCTGGGCGTGGTGGCGGGCGCCTGTAATCCCAGCACTTTGGGAGACCGAGGCAGGTGGATCACGAAGTCAAGAGATTGAGACCATCCTGGTCAACAAAGTGAAACCCCCGTCTCTACTAAAAATACAAAAATTACCCGGGCATGCTGGTGGGTGCCTGTAATCCCAGCTACTCCGGAGGTTGAGGCAGGAGAATCGCTTGAGCCTGGCAGGTGGAGGTTGCAGTGAGCCCAGATGGTGCCACTGCACTCCAGCCTGGGTGACAGTGCAAGACTCCATCTCAAAAAGAAAAAAGTTTATACTTGAGGCTGGATGCAGTGGCTCATACCTGTAATCCCAGCACTTTGGACTTTGGGAGATTAAGGTGGGAAGTGGAGGACTGGTTGAGCTCAGGTGTTCAAGACCAGCCTGGGCAACGTAACAAGACTTCTCTTTACAAAAAAAATACTTCCAGTGGTTATAGACTTTAGATGTAATAGTGAGGAGACCTCTGCCACCCCTTCCTCTTGGTGGTATATATGATTCTGGTTTTGATTTTAAAAATGCACTGCATCCTGTAGGGTAGCACCCTACCCTGCCAGATATAGTATCCCTGCTATGGTCTCGGAGGCCAATCCACCAATCTATGGAGCCAGCTGCTTCTGGTCCACGGGGCACTTGGTAACCCAGTGATTCCTTTAGTGTTTGTGGGATGAGATGGCCAGGGGCAGACCTGTGTTACTTATAGTTAAATGATTACAAGCTTGCTTTGCCTTTTATACACGGGGATTTGTACCATGGATCATATCCAAACTATGGTGCAGTAAAATAAAAGCAGAGATCAAGTGGTAACAGGAGGCCTATGGGAAAGACCATTGAGAGCACCCTACAATCACGAATACTACGGTGTGGCTGCAAAGCAGAAAAGAAAAACTGCTTTGGTCCCAGGACTCTTCCCAACATAGAGTTTGTGCAAGGATCTCATAAAGGGAGCTTATGCAAAAGACCCGGGGAAGGAAATGCAACATCTGCTCATAAGACTCAGGAGGGTCTTGGCAGGTGGGTGCTAGTAAGGCCGGAAAGCCTTGCAGGGCAGAGACACCAGAACACCACAGACTCTGCCTGTGTTCTCAGAATATGGAGCAATTCCGATTGCTCTGTGTCCACATTGCTTGGGAGATAAAAGCCCCTTGATGCATGTGTGTGGTCAGACCTTATGTCGCCTTATCCACTGCAGCTCTCTCGCCAAAACACCTGAATAGACAATGGTTGGTAAAATCTCAGTGTCCTTAGTTAGCAGTTCTTAGGAGAGCCATGTATGCTATTGAATGCTGCAGACATGTGCTCTTCCTCTGGTTATCTTCCTCCTCAACCCCCCTCCCCACAGCCTGCAAGATTAACAAGACAATTTACCTAATAAAAGCACTTGGAGCCCGAGATAGTGCGTTGGACCCCTGGACCCATGCTTTAAAATTCTATCATTGTATCTTTGTCTTTCTTTTCTCACTCCCTGGTCACTGCCGTGACACGGGCACCCACACACAGAGTTGGGCTGGTTCCCAACAAGTGTGAGCTCATTTGTACATTTCCTTGGCCATAACATGTATTGCCCTGGTTGAAAGCTATGTATATTATGTTCAATGCCATGCTGATGGATATGGCATTCAGTAAGCCCATGAGTGGTGGTGCTGACAAGTACTGTAGGTAGAGAAAGCAAATTCCTATGTGAAATATGTGCCTCTCCTCGTGAAGGTAAAATACAGCCCCTCTGTTATGGGAGGACCCAATCAAGCCAATCTACAATGAGGTGAGAATGGTGCCCAATCAAGGACTCGGTCCTGGACCGTGAGGAGGGTGGACACTCACACTGACCACAGCCAGATCAGCCTCAGAGCGGAGAATACGGTTACTGAGCCCGGGCGCAGCTTCCATGCCTGCCACCATGGCCACTTTATAGCATTGCACAAGCCCTGCGGGGAGCTGGGAAAGCAGTTGACCTTCATCCACAAGACTGTCATCTTGTCCACCTGGTGATCATTTTGTCCCTTTGCCTTATTGTGGGCTATTATACCCACCTTGCCTTTAACTGTTAGGCATCACCATTTAGCCTTTGTACCATCAGGATACCATTATTCTCAGTGAGATCAGGGAATCCACTTCCACTGATCCATCCAGCATGCCCCACTAGCTCTCTAGTCAAGAGAGGACAGTCATCAAAGCAAGTCAAGGATGCTGGTGGCCCTCACCAACGCATTTCTTTTTTATAAAATTTTATTTATCTAATTTTTTACTTCACACTGATGTAGGCTTTTTTTTTTTTTTTTTTTTTTTTGAGATGGAGGCTTGCTCTGTCACCCAGGCTGGAGTGTAGTTGTGCGATCTCGGCTCACTGCAACCTCAGCCTCCTGGGTTCCAGCAATTCTCCTGCCTCAGCCTCCTGAGGAGCTGGGATAACAGGTGCACGCCACCATGCCTGGCTAATTTTTTTGTATTTTTAGTAGATATGGGGTTTCACCATGTTGGCAAGGCTGGTCTTGAACTCCTGACCTCGTGATCCACCTTGGCCTCCCAAAGTGCTGGGATTACAGGTGTGAGCCACCACACCCAGCCTACCAACGCATGTCTTAATGCTTTCGTAAAGGGAGTGTTTTCCAGACCTTCCTAAAATATGCGGCTAGCAGTGGCTAAGAAGGTTGAACATCGAGATTGCGCCACTGCACTCCAGCCTGGCCACAGAGCGAGTCTCCATCTCAAAAAAAAAAAAAAAAAAGTTGCGTATCATGAAGTCCAGCATTCGCATCTCCCTGAGACTTCTGATTCCCTCCTCTAAAGTATGCCAGGGAAGCTCTGGCATTTCATGCTTATTAACTGTAGGCTACTACTTAATCCAGACTTTAATTAGCCAGTCTAGCAGACTATTAATGCTCCTGCCAGGTATCCAGGCCAACACAGTAAACCCCAAATCCTGGATAAGCATCTACTGTGGTGAGCTTAGCTAAACCAAGTCTTCCATCCCCCACCTTGGTCTAGTCCCCTCAGCACCCACTCCCACACCCACTCCTGCAGCTCCTGCCAAGATAAGCTGGCCAGGCCTGTAACTCAGCCCTGTGTTCTCTCAGTGTGGCCCTGTGCTTCTCCATGGGCTGTGCTGAGACCCAGCTCACAAAGGGCCCGGGGCCAAGAGGGTTGTGGGCAGGGAGGGTTCTGAGGCTGAAGTTTTGGGGGGCGGGAGTATTAGGGTGCCTTAACCCCACAGACATGAGAATTTCAAGGAAATTTGGGGGTTCAAACTTCTCAGTCTTGTTCATGTCTATCCCATCTCAGGCTCCCAGTCCTTTCCCAGCAATGCCCTTACCTTAGCAGTCTCACTCTGTCTCCCAGGCTGGAGTGCAGTGACGTGATCTGGAATCACTTCGACCTCCACCTCCCTCGTTCAAGCAATTCTCCTGCCTCAGCCTTCCGAGTAGCTGGGATTTCAGGTGTGCGCCGCCAGGCCCGGCTTACTTTTTTTGAGACAGAGTCTTGCTCTGTTGCCCAGGCTGGAGTAGAGTGGCACGATCTCAGTTCACTACAACATCCACTTCCCTGGGTTCAAGCGATTCTCCCGCCTCAGCCCGGAGTAGCTGGGATTACAGGCAGCCGCCATCATACCCGGCTAATTTTTGTACTTGTAGTAGAGATGGGGTTTCACCATGTTGGCCAGACGGGTCTCAAACTCCTGACCTCAGGTGATCGGACTGCCTTGGCCTCCTAAAGTGTTGGAATTACAGGCATGAGCCACCATGCCTGGCTTTTTTTGCTTGTTTTTTTTTTTGCAACAAGGGATTCTGATTTCATCCAGGCATTGATAACTTTCAGTTCTCTTTCCCCCGGCCCATGTTCCCTGCGGCCATCAGGAAAACCCAGATAAGTCCCTGCCATAGCGGTGAGGGACCACAGCCCCTTCAGCTCCCATCTCCCCACTGTTCCCCACACCTCATTCCTCACTGCCCCAGAGCTCATTTGGGCAATGGTGATGCCTCCATATGTTGGAGATTACCTGGGTACATTTCCCCTTTTGCAAAGAGGCTTCCCCATGTACTGTTGAAATGCATGATCAATCCAATCCCAATATCCGGTTTGGGACTTCTCCTGGCACCAGCTGCTATACTGGTGAGCATGGGTAGGAAACAGATGACACACTGATGCTGGGTAATTTGAGGAGAATTTAGTAGAGTCTATTTACAGAGTTGAAGGGAAATCCCAAGAGACAATGCAGTACTGGTATTAATAACAAGCCTGAGGGAGTGAGGGGATGGAGCAGTGTCAAGGCCCCAAAGCCATGGAGTTGAGTGGGGGGACCCTGCTGCCAGTGGTGACCCTGAACCTCAAGGAGGAAAACTAAGGAAGAAATACTCTGACATCCTTCTTTTTCTTCCCTCTGTTCTCCCTCCACCCCCGTTGGCCAAATCTAAAAGCCAATGGGCCAGGAAGACTATTGAAGGGGTCTATAGATGTCATTGTTCAGGAAGCTGGATGGGGAAGGGTGACAGAGGACCTGGAGGGGCAATGCAGGAGACCCAGCATGGCCACCCACTTGATGAGAATCTTCATAGCTTCCATGATCCCACTGAATCTGTCGTGCTCTCAGGACAATCCTGTGAGGTAGGCTCTGTCATCACTCTCATTTTACAGATAGGAAATCTGACGCAGAGAGAAGCGAAATAACTTGCTGCAAAGTCTCACAGCTTGTGAATGCCA